GATCAGAAATCTGATGTAGAATGAGACTTGAATAAAGCTTTATTAAAAGAGAAAAATGACAGAAATATCAAAGTCTCTGAGCAAAGAGAATTACATAAGATGCTCAATGTTCAAAATACTCCTGAAAATGTACACTGAGTGAAACTCATATTGCATTCCGAACAAGCGAACGGCTTCTCACCATTATGAATACTCATATGTTCACGCAGAGTCGATGATTGAGTGAAACTCATATTGCATTCTGAACAAGAGAACGGCTTCTCACCGTTATGAATCCTCATATGTTCACGCAGACTCGATGTCGTGGTGAAAATTTTTCCGCATATTTTGCATTCGATCGGCTTCTTACCTGTGCGAGTCCTCATATGTGTACGCAGATTCGATGGTGCAGCAAAATCTTTCTTGGATATTTTACATTTGAACCGCTTCTCACTTGTGTGAGTCGTATTTTCTCTTGACATCTTCCTCTTCCTTTCTATTCTTGTTTGTTCCTCACTGGCTTTTTGAACTGGTAGGTTCAATGACTTTGCGTCATCCTGATCCATATGTTCTTCCAGTCTGGATATTACCTTTTGATACGACTCGAACCATGATCTCTTCGGTTTTATTCTTACACTTGTTTTTTCTCTACTGGCTTTTTGAATTGGTAAGTTCAATGTCCTTGTGTCATCCTGATCAGTTTCGCTTAATTCTACTTCTCCCCCACTCACTTCTGGCGCTGACAGATCTAATGGTCCAATCCGTCCCTCAATCATTCTTGACAATGACAAATCCAACGGTTCTATCTTTAGATATACAGTAGGATAAATTTTATATTGTCGGATACGGTACATAATTAAACTATTACTCTTTCATAAAGACGGTAAGCAGGTGCTGTGAAAAAAGTGATATGAAATAAAGAGCTAACAGCATACAGTACACATAGCATCGTATCAATCCGTGTTTTCGCTTCACTTTTATCTCACAAATAAGTATACAGTATGAAGCATAGTTCGGTAAAGCATAAAGCATCAACATGCTATTGCACGCTTGAACTGTTCCTCAATTATATCAGCGGTTTTTTTAAGATTCTAAAATAATCAAATCTTACCGTAGATAAGTAATATTTTGTTGAAATATTTAATGAATTTTATCCAGTAATTGAAAGTCGAAAAGTCAATCAATAATTAGTATCCCAGCATTATGTGTTTTTTTTTGAAATTATATGATATTTTTGTAAAGATCTTTTCCGAAGTATTACCGCATACCCCCTATTATTCATTTGATGGTATCATTGAAACCATTTTGAACAGCAAATATCAGTTTTGCCATTTTTGATCTGTGTATTATCGACCTAATATATTGATTACTATAAAAAATCACTGGTCATGTTGTGCACTGGCGAACACACATAAAAATTCTAATCCAGGTGTTTCGGATTAATGTGAATTTCTAAAAAGTCCTTAATTTTCAGGTTTAAGCTAAGGTTTAGGCTTGCTGAAAATTTGTCAAGGTTTTTGTTATTTTTGATCAGTGTACTCGATCTCATGTATTGATTGCTATAAAAAATCACTGATCATGGTAAGCACTAGTCATTATTATTGGAACTATCTCTGATAGTAATGCTTGTTCAACTGCCACTGCTATTTGCATTGAAATTCCTCAAATCTGTCACATTTTGGAACTTCTTTTTTGATCAAATCAACTATTCGGCAACTCACTGGTGTGAGACCATAGTTGTGATGGATTATCAACTGAATGAAATGTTACTTGCAAATGGCATAATTGAAATGGCTATTGTCTTCAACGGAATTTTACAACGGAATTGTGGGTTGACAAACGAAGGGGATGGGTAATCTTATGAAATAATGAGAGTCTTCAAGTGTCGTGATTAAGATTTCGTTGTCCAAAATTTACTTCCATGTTGTTTGTGCAATAGTTCATGTGAGACAATATTATTTCATACTGATGAAAATTTAGTAATAGTGTTACTTAATTGCAAGTTCTTCATGCATAGCATGCAAGTTACCTGCTTGTCATATGTGCATTAATAATGAAAAGGCTGTTTATTAAAGTGCAAGTAGGTGCGAAACGAGGAATTTTATTCACTAAGATAAGAGAAATAATAAAGAAATGGTAGAGGAACGATACCAATGCACAAATAAAGCAACACAATGATAACAATACAACAAGAAAAATGAATTTATCTTACAGAAAATACAACACCAGAAATAGCAATGCGTATTTCGGTTTGAAATGCGTCTATCAGCCCGTTATTTGAATCTTCATGTGTTATTTCAAAGAGGATTTCCGCGAGATTTATCGCACACAGTGGAGTAGAATCTGGGCTTCTCATTGTCATGAATCCTCATGTGCCTTCTCATATTACCTGATTGAGAGAAATTTCTCCTGCACTCCATTTGCAGGACAAGTGTACGGTTTCTTAGCGGTATGAATCGTCATATGATTATGCAGAGCCGATGACTGGGTGAAACTCATATTGCATTCCGAACAA